CCAATACGCCATTTAAGTTCCAAATTTAGTTTGGAGTTTGTCGATTTAATGCCAAAACGAATACATTTTTATTGGCATTTTAAGCCTAACCAAATAGTCTTCACACTCGGTATTTGCACGTTAGTACTTTAATAAATGCATTTCAGTATTGAACGATATTTTTAGCCTAACCGAATAATCTTTGTACTCAGTCTCTGCACGTGCTTTAGTTTATAAAGGTATTTCGGCCTGGAACGACATTTAAGCCTAACCTAATAACCTTCGTACTCGGTCTTTGCACCTTAGTGCTTTAGTTCATAACGACATTACGACCTTTAGTTTTTCTGTGTTTTCATAACATTCTGGGAATGACCTTCCTCGTCATTTTCTCCTTCTTCACAATCGGCCCAGGGATGGTTGAGTGATAAAGCTCTATAGTTTGTGTGGCTTTCAACTTTTTGCACTTAGGATTGCACATCTTTGACATGGTTACAACTTGGAAGGTTGGTCGGTCTTTTTCCCCCGCTCCTCTTATGTTGGCTCCAGAGGCTCGGTTGTTAGACCTTGGGTCGATCGCGAGCACTTCATTATTTTAGCTCAACCCTGTCGATGCATTGACTCCCCGGGTGGATACATGCCCTTTACTGTTGCACATCGATATGCCAAGGCAAAAAAATCCTTGGCAGGTTAAGGGCTGATTTTTACATGGCATAAAGCAAAAGGTTCAGTTCGGTCTTTAGGCCTAATCGCGCGAATTTCAGCATCATATTTTGTCAGTCAGGCCCCACATCTCGGGTTCTTTCGCTGAAATGAACAATTCAACTCTTCGGCTTTTCCCCGGCCTCTCAGTTGCTGCCAACTTCAAATAGAACTGAGGCATGACGAACAGTGCAATCTCTAGACTTTATACCGTGGAGTCAATAGGAATTCCCTACATCTATGGGTGTTTGCTACTTCGAGTAGGTCTATCCAGGGATTATAACGGCCGAGGTAGGGGTCCATGCTATTCTGCCATCACATCACTCTGTATGGAATGTTCTTGCTTTCTACGGCAGATAGTAGAATAGGATTTCTGGTGATAACGGGGATGTATCAACCCATTCATGTCGGACCCGTTTAATGATTGCTTCTTACAAGCCATACGACTTTTCTGAGGTCATGCTTCTCGGCCCCAATGTATCGATCTTTTCGCTACTCGGTGCAAGAAAGGGTCGAATGAGCGGTCATCCTAGCCCAAAGGTCTGCAAACGACCTACCTTCCCTGGCTTCCTTCGTTAAGGCTCAGTCAATCGTCGTCCATCGCATTTTTTTCATGTTGTCTAGTAATTGGACCGTTGTTTTCTAGCCGATGTTCCTCCTGGATTTTCGGCAGGTTCTGGGTGTCCCTTTTCTCTGGTGTTTCAAATGCTTTCGGCATCGGAGTCTTCGTAGTCTTCGTTGTTACCTTTGTATCTTGGGATTTCTCCAGCGTTTTGAATATGTTTCGCGCTTGAGTCTTCTGGGTCATTGTTGCAATCGTTGTATCTTTAAGTTTCTCTAGTGTCTTGAATATGTTTCACGTCAGATTCTTCAGGATCTTTGTTGTCACCGCTGTGCTTTTGGGTATTTCCGACGTCTCAGGTATATATCTTTTGCACCAGAGTCTTCAGTGTCTTTGTTGCTATCATTGCGCTTTTGGATTTTTCTGGTGTCTTAAGTATGTTTCGCATCGGAGTCTTCGGGGTCTTCGCAGCTAAGGTTTGGTGAAGCTGGCTTCCTTTGCCGGACTTAGCTTTCCAGCAGTTCTTTGAAAAAGAAGAGAAAAGTCTTGTAATGGTGTTCACAAGTCAAAAATTGACTCCAAGCAAATTATAGAGCCCTCCTTCTAGCGTCAAACTGTTGACAAACGGATTTGATGAACGAGTTAAAAGTGTTTTGGATCAGGTTTTGAGATGCTTAGTTAAGGTAGATGTGTGTATTTGTCGCGTGAAGAATCAAACATAAAGAAATGAAAGATAATACAAGAATTTGATAATGTAATAGGGGCTAGGTCGTCCAATACTATTATTGCTCGGACTAAGATTTTTACTTGGTGTTTTTTACGAGAATCTATATCTCCTGGATTGCATCGTTTTTTCATTCCCCTTATTCAGGCTTAATATAAGAGTATTTATGTAACCGTTGCCTGGAAATTAGTCACCGGGCCGTAAGGTACGCATGTAATTGAATGGACAGGCTATTTCAATGCGTCGTGCTACCCTATGAGTCTATGACTGACTGCTCGAAATGTTAGCCGGCAGAGATGTGATTTCCCATCATTAAGCAGCAAGTTGCCTTTATTTTGTTAC